TGATGATGTTGAATGTTACTGAAAGATCAAAATGAGATTAAGAACAAATTTCCCAGCCTCATAGAGAATTGCTGAAATTGACCCGCATGTGGAACGGATGGAGGCCCACATGGCACAGTAGGGAGAGAATGTGCTGTAAGGCTGTTGAATCAGTGACACAAGACGACTCTACCAAGAAAGTTTTTATTTGGGATGGGGTACAGTGCTGAGAAAAGGGGGTAGTAGCTAGAGGAGCTCTGAGAGCATGTGGTATCTGATAGGAATAGAGGACCCAGGATCCAGAGAGAAACTTGTATCGCAGAAGATGCCTTTGGAAAGGAGAGGGAGAAGGTGGGGTCTATAGAATGTGTTAAAATCACCTCCAAACCCATGACCAGATATTTAGTATGGCCCAAACAAACACCTCTGGGGGATACTGGGTGTCCACAGTGATTAACAGCTCCCCAGGTTATTCTGATGTGTAGCCAGAAATGAAAACCTCTGCCCTAAGGGAAGTGCCACATTCACTTTTAGGGGTGCCTCTAAAATGTCTGTGGCACTGCTGGGTGAGAAGAGACTGTTGAAGACTGGAGTTTAAAACACCCCCCACCGCAAGCCAGGAGCTTCTTAATGTAGCAAGCAACTACGGGTTTATCTTTATACTTACTAAATATAAATTTTACTTTATATTCACTTAAAACTTACTAAATATAAATTGTGACTTGGGGTATCATATTCTATATGCTCTCCGGTAATCTGCTTTTTGTAATTAATTGTATCTTGTGAATTTTTTCCTTTAAAATTCTTATTGGCCACATAAAACTGCAATGTATGGATTTATGAAGATACAATTTAATTCTTCTGCAGAGCACATTTTTCAAATAAAAATGATCCCTGAATATGCTTGTATTTAATCTTTTGTGCATCTCTACTTATTTCCTTCGCTTTCGATCCTTGAGAGGGAATAATTGGATCAGAGGCTACATAAATGAGCTTTTTATAATTCATTGATTTTACTATGAGAAAACAAAATACAGGTTTTTGGCAGGGACGTTCAAGCCGCATGGACTGGAGGGGGAAAACGCCGCCCTCACCCTGCTCCCCACCCTTTCCCTTTTCTCTAGAAATTAACAGCTTGCTGTATACTTTTCCAGAAACTTAACCTGCCTTCGGTGTTCGTGCCTAACGGACGAACGAAAACACTTACCAGTTCATTTCTACAAACTTCACCAGCGTGTGCATTTCACTAACTACCGCGGTCACTGGTCCTGACTAGTCGGTTCTAGCTGGCGAGGTCCCCGCGCCGCTCAGCGCCTGCGGTGCCCGGC